TGTCACTCCGGGCCTCTCCTCTTGCCCACCCTGCTACACTATCTGGACTACTAGATCAATCAAATATGGTCATGAGTGAAAGCCATTACACATTTCCTCCAAAGTTTGGTGGGCATTAGCTCCCTTTTATGAATGAGGAACTGAAACTTGGAGAGGACAGGTGACTTGCCCAAGGTCACACAACCAGGACTTGGGGTTCTGGCTTTTAAATGAGATCTATCAGGCTCTAAAATCACGTATGAATGAGGTCTAAGGGGAAATGGACTCCAAAATATGAGAACAAAGTGCCAGATCCTATCCATCCCCTGAGAGATGGAGATGTCCTCATTCCATGGCTGGTGTCAAGAGGTACAGAATAAACAATTCCCCATAACATGACTTCCACAGACAGGGCTGAGGAAGCGTCAATAACTTCCAGGACTGGAAAGTAAGACCCTGACCCCAAGGGAGGTCCTGAAGGAAGTAAGCCACCTACACTTTGTGGTCTAGACAAGGAAACAGGTGTCACCCAGAGCCTGTGTGGAGGAGTCCCAGAGAGCCACATTACTCCCACTTCTCACTGCCTTTTGTTTTAGTTGTGGTTTGTTTTTTGTTTTTTTGGTCTGAGAAATGTACATGATAATGAATATTAATGAATTACATATCCATGAACAACCACCCAAGTCAATCAGACCATTATCAACATTCCAGAAGTTGGGTCTCTTCCCAACACTATTATGACTTGGTGATAATCATTCCCTTGCTTTTATTTATAATTTTACCACTAGTAATAGGTTAGTTTTGCCTGTTTTTTAACTTTGTGTAAATGCGTCATACATTGTGCAATCATTTGTGTTTCACTTCTTTTGCTCAATGTATCCAGGCTGTTCCATGTACTTGTAGGTCTTTCATTTTCATTGTATAATATTCCACTCTGTGAATATACTACTTATACACTTATTGGCACATCTGGGTTTTCTATTTGTAGTTTTAATATATTCTAGGTTTGAGCCTTTCATCATTTGTTTCAATTATCTTCTCCCAACTTGTGTCCCAATTTGTTGTTTTCACTCTTCATGGTGTTTTTTGATCAACAGACATTTTTAATTGTAATGTAATTAAATGTTTTATACTTTTCATTTATGGTGTTTTTGTGTCTTAAGAAAAACTTTTCTACCATGAGTATATGAAGGCATTCTTCTGTATTAAATTCTTAAAGGTCTCTGGGTTTTGCCTTTCACATTTAGGTTTTGAATCCACCTATAATTATTTTTGTGTTATGAGATAGGGATCCAATTTCATATTTTTTCAATATGGATAACTGATGTTCCATTTACTGAAAGTCCAACCATCCCCCTCTGGTCTCACAGTACCTCCTTGGCCACCTATTCTGTGTCTCCATGAGAGTAAAGAGTAGGTCTGATTCTGAGACCACTGGTCTTTCATGGGTCTATTTGTCAACACTTGCAGCAGTATTACACCATCTTAATTGCTATACTTTTATAATAAGTATGGGTATCCTGGTTAGTTGGCACTTGTACATAAATTTAAGAATTAACTTGTTATACACACACAAAATCTATTGGAATCAAGACTGGATTTGCACCAAACTTACAAAACAGTTTAGAGGGAACTAACAGCTTAACAACATCGACTCTTCTATTTGATGAACACATATATTTATTTAGTCTTTTTTAATGTCTTTCAAATTTTTCTTTTTTCCTAAGAGATCTTGCTCCCTCTTGTTAATTTCTAAGTATTTCATAAATGGTATGTTTATTAAAACTTTTCTTTGTTGTTAGTATATAAAAGCAATAGATTTTTAAATATGGATTTTTATATCAAAAATCTTTTTAAATTCTTAATAATGCTAATAATTTATCCATGGATTTGGATTTTCTACAACAATGGTATCATCTATAAATAATGACAGTTCTGTTCATTTCCAATCTTTAAATATTTTCTTTTCCTTGCCTTATGCTTGCTAGGACCTTGAGTTCAACACTGAGTAGAAATGGAGACAGCAGACATGCTTGCCACATTCCAAATGTCAAAGCCCTTAACATTTCACTTCTAAATATGTAGTTTATTGAAAATCTTTGTAGGTATCCTTTATGTTATGTAAGTTTATTCAACTAACTTGCTAAGTTTCTTTGAATCACAAATAGATGTCAAATTTTATCTAACCCTTTCTCTGCATCTATTGAGATAATTGTGGTTTTTCTTGTTTAATTTGTTAATGGAGCAAATTATGCTGACTGAGTTCAAATGTTAAATCACAGTGCAGTTTTAGAATAAATCCAACTTGGTCATATTATACTTTTTTAATATACACACAGTCCCCGACTTACGATGTTTCGACTTACAATTTTTTCAACTTTATGATGATGTGAAAGCGATACACATTCAGTAGAAACTGTATTCAAATTTTGAATTTTGATCTTTCCCTGGGCTAGCAATATGCAGTATAATACTCTTTTGTGATGCTGGGCAGCAGTGAGAGAGCCAAAGCTCCCAGTCAGCTACAAAATCACAAGAATAAACAGCCAACACTCTACAGCGTTTTGTGTTCCCACCATTTTTTGGATATTTTGTTTTGTGTTTACAGATCCCATCATGTCTACAAAACACCCATCTGTGTCTTCTGCTTCTGGTGAGAAGAGGAAGGCAATTATTCTTGAAGTGAAACTCAAGATAATTGCCCAACTGTAGGCTAATGTAAGTGTTTGAGGCACGTTTAAGGTAGGCTAAGTTAAGCTATGATGTTTGGTAGGTTAGGTGTATTAAATGCATTTTCAACTTAAGATAATTTCAACTTATGATGGGTTTACTGGGAAGTAACCTTATTATAAGTCGAAGAGCATCTGTTTTGGACTTAGGCAGTGTTATAGGCTGAATGTTTCTGTGCCTTCAAAATTCATATATTGAAATCTAATCCCCAATGTGATGGTATTAGGAGGTGAAGCCTTTGGGAGGTGATTAGGTCATGAGGATGGAGCCTTCATGAATGGGATTAGTGCCTTTTTATAAAAGAGACTCCAGAGAATGACCTTGTCCCCTCACTCAGTGAGGACACAGTGAGAAGACAGCTGTCTTTGAACTACTAAGTTGGCCCTCACAATACACCAAAACTGCTGGCACCTTGAAAGTGACTTCCCAGCCTCAGGAAGTGTGAGAAATAAATGTTGTTTATTAGCCAACTAGTCTATGCTATTTTCTTATAGCAGCCTGAACAGACAGGGAGTTATCACTTGGTTTAAAATATTTGCATCAATTTTCTTGAGATTGTTCTGTAATATTTGTTTTTCACTCATCAGGTATTAGTATGAAGGTTATAAAATGAATTAGAAATCCTCCCTCTTTTTCTACACTCTGGAATTGCTTTTGTAAAATTGGAATTACTTGTTCCTTGAGTGTTTCACCAGCACACCCATCTGGGCCCAGAGTTTCGGTGTAGAAAAACCTTTGTCTACAGGTTCTGTTACTTAAGAGGACTGCCAAGATTTCTCCCTTTTTGAGACAGTTTTGGTGAGATATATGTCTGTAGTAATTTGTCCATTTTATCTAATTTTTCAATGCAATTGGCATAAAGTTGCCTTTTTGAACATTGATCAAATTACCACATTAATAGAAGGACACCAACATATGTCTGGATTTTGACAGTTGACAGACTATCCTCATTGAAAGATAGGTGAAATATGGGTATGCTGAATTTTCACCAGCTGTTTTCCACTTCCAGACCTCTGCGATGCAATTCCTTCTGACTAGACCGCCCCCTCTTCCTCTTTATTAGCTGGTAGATGCTTTCTCATTTTTTAAAATTCAGTTCAGGTACCATGTCCTCTAAGGATTCCAGAGTCCCAACACTAGGATAAACATCTGGAGCCCCCACAGCCCACTGTACCCGTCACTATTAATAGACTAACCATACTCCAATGAAATTCTTTCTCTGTGTCTGTCTTCTCCATACACTGTGATCTCCTTCATCTGCTTCAGAGCAGAGGTGCTCAGTCAACACTGATGGAACTGAACTGAGCTTATAACCAATGAATGGCCAACTAAGTCCTCTAGCCATCTCTCTATATTTCCCCATATACATTTGTTTGTTCATTTATTTCATTGAGCATCTACTTTGTGCCAAGAACTGTTCTAGAAGAGTGGCTGGTGAGCAAAGAAGAGAACTAGGAGAATGTGGTGTCCTGGAAATCAAGTGAAGAAAGGGTTCCAAGGTTGAGATGATCAGCTTTGTCAAATGCTGCCAATAGGTCAAGTAAGATGAGGTCTGAGACTGGACCATTTGTATAACAACCAGTGACTTGGGCACTTTTGCTGAAGTGGTTGGGCAAAAAATCTGATTGGGGCATTTCAGAAAAGCACTAGAGCCCTGGAGGAAAATAATTAAAGAGAGCTAGTATAAAGTTTTGGTGTGAAGGGAAGTAAATAAATATATGGTGTTTTATTTTGCTATGCAGAGTTTTTAATTTGCATCTATGTAGCCTTTGTTTCAAAGCTTCTGGGTTTCCTGTTTTAAGTTAGAAATGCAATGTCTGTGGACAGCAACTCTGGTATGAATTTTTCACAGCACATTAACTCCTCTTTCCTTTCTGAGGCCTTCCCAACCTTGGAGACCGAGGGGTCTCCCTGCTGGTGTCAAAGGCTGGGTTTTTTTAAGTAACTTCAAAACCTTGTGGCTGATAGCTTCACAACCAATATCCCCACATCCACAGCTGACCACATCCACTACTGCAACCACGTGTGTGACACCAAACTCTCATGTGTCTGCCACTCTTCCTCCCTCCCTGACAAAATGTGGAAATGACCAAAGGACCTGCCCCCCAAAGACCACCAGACCACATAGATTAGGACAGTAAGTTGAGGCAACACAGAACCTCAAGGACATATTGAAGCAGCAGCAGGCATGACCATACCCCACTTCCCACATGCCACTCCCCACTGTGATCCTCCCATATGATCACCCTGTACACTCATTCCAAACAGGAGAACACTGCACGCAAGACACATCATTTATCATAGAGCTCTATTGTGGCATATAATAATAGGTACTCTATATAAATTAAATTAAAAATAAAGCTCCAGCAGGTTGCACAGGTTGGCTGTTAATAAATATATCTCTGGGTAATTGTGCCCCAAGACCAGCTCACGACCACTCTCCCTCGTCCAGAGAATTATACAAAAATAAATACAGGCTCAGGGGGAGGGGAGAAGGGAGGACATGCCCAGTTCCATTCTGAAAGTTCTCATTCCCACTATCCACCCATCCCCTGCTCCTCTCCACTGGTATCAACACAGGAGCTCTGTGCTGACTGGAGAGCTCAGGGACAGGGAGGCCTCTCACCAGTCGAGCATTCTCAGAAGTAAAGGATTCACTCACTGTACAGGCCACATGTCCCATCTGAACTCTCTGGGGGTGGTGCAGGGGCTACCCCTCCCCAGACCCCAGAGAGGAGGACACTCATTATTGCTGGTCCCACAAGCAGCTCCTACGAGAACCAGGCCAGAGAGAGGCACAGCACAAGCACCAGGAGGGACATACCACTGTTCAGAGCCACTGGGACCACCACCAGGCCAGCCAGGACCCCCAGAGTCTGGGTCAAGGGCTCCCAGAGCTGGGGAGGCAACACACACACACATTCTTCAGTGGCTGCTAGGGCAGGAGACTTCTTTGGGGACTCAAGGTTTAGGCCTGAACCTTCTTCATCCTGGGAGCTCACATGGGACATGACCAGGCTGGTAGGACAGATTTCAGCCCCCAAGGTACCAAGGAGGGTGAGATTTTGCCCCTGCAGGACTGGACCAGCTGGCTCCTTGCCAGATATAGGAACCAAGCTGTCTGCCCACTCAGTGGTGGACTCCATCCAGGATTCTGTCCCTCCTGGGAACCCAGTGACCCCAGATATCACCCTATTCATGTGCAAAGAGTCAGTGTCCTTGCACATCCCCTTCTCTGGAGCCCCAGTGAACTGACCCTCCGTACCCAGAACCACAGGACTGTCACATCCTGAGCCCTCTGCCCATGGGAGCCACACATCTCCCACAGTGGCTACCCCAGAATGGGCCCCAGAGAGGATTTCCGGAGGTGATTCCTTGGGGGTGTCCCCTTCTGGGCTAGAGGGTATCATAGAGAGCCCCTCTTCACCCTCTCCCTCCTCATCAGGGTCCTCAGTGTCCTTGATAAGCTCTACACCTCGCCCCAGCCGGGCATAGTGTAGTGTGATCTCCTCCGCCAGGGCACTGTTCAGGGCCCGCTCAGGTCCAGGCCACTTCAAGATCAGGTCTCGGTCCGTGAGTATGCCCAGGGGATGGCTGGGGGACACCCCCCCATCTGTGGAGCCCTCCCCACCATTTCCTGCCCCACCTGCAGCCACAGCAGCCCGCAGGCGGCTCAGGTGGGACAGGTAGAGCTGTTCCAGCTCCTGGTCAATGGAGTCCTCGCCAAGCAGCTCTTCCAACCCACTCATGACCTCCAAACCCTTGGGTGGCTCATCCATAGTAGCCCCTACCATGGGGTCCTTTCGGCCCCCTCCATTCTCGCTGGATACTTCCCACGCAGCCTCTACCTGTTGCTGACTAGGTTCCAGGAGAGGCCCAGCTGCCCCCTCACTTGCATCCGGCCCAGAGGCCTGGTCTCTGGGGGAGCCACCCAGGCCACAGAGAAAGGAGGAGGGGGGAATCCTGATGGCTGGTGTCTGGGGGACCTCTGTGAAAGCCATAGGTGGACTGTTTCTAGGGATGTCACCTTCCTCTGAGAGTTTGCCAGTCACTGTGACTTCAGAAACCTGGGGAGTGGAGAGAAAGGGAAGGAAATGAAGTAGAGGGGATGGAACAAGCAGAGACAGGGAGAACTGGTAACAGCACACACCCAACCCCATATGTGCTTCCAGGGAGAACTGGTAACAGCACACACCCAACCCCATATATGCTTCCAGATAAAAACTCCTTAAAGAGCCTTCTATAATTCTCTAAATCCCAAAGACTATGTCATCTATATTAAAATAACAAAACCAGATGAAGTAAAAGGGGGCTTCCTCCAGATCATATAGCTGAGGTGAATACTGTTGGTTGGCCTACAAAACATATCCAGAACATTCACATGAATTTATGTAATTTTTATTTTTAAGAAAGTATTTCCTAGCTCTGTCCTTTAACAAAGCCTAGAAACAATGATCAATCTAGTAGCAACAAGCACACCTAGTCCCCAGATATAAATACCATTCTCCACTAAAAGGAACCAGGGCTCCTTAAATAAATGGCTGTTTCCAGGTTTGGGGCAGGTAAAGTACCAGACCGAGTCTGGGACATAATGCCATACCAGAATGAGAGGAAGTGCTCAAAGAGTGATGGGTGTGTGTCAAAAGGACTCTGGAGCAATCTAAATAAGCTTCCACTGGCCAGAGGGAGTTCAATTTAAAAATCAAAGAAATAAGGGCAATGGATTGAAACTCATCAAATATATTTACAATTCATGAGTTAATAATGATATACCAAAACCAAAAATCCTTTATTTGGTCACCTTTGGAGAAGTTGATTTCTTCTGAAAACTCGTAAATAAAAAGGGAAAAAATAAGCATTTATACAGGTTTTTCTATACAAACTATATACCTTCAAGGTATACACTGTCAAGGTAGCCAGACAGTTGATGTGAGAGTTTCTTTAGAGAAAAATTTCAGCTAATAAATAAAGCAGAAATAAGAGAATCAAACAGAATCAATTATATTTAAATTAATTTAATAATACATTATATCTAATAAATTTAATACAATTAATAGTTTGATTAAATTTAATTGATCAGAATAATAGAATTAATTAATTAATTAAAAATTGAGTAAGACCTCTGGCCGGTGTGGCTCAATTGGTTGGGCATCATCCCGTGCACTGAAGGGTCGTGGGTTCAATTCCCAGTCAAGGGAACATACCTGAGTTGCAGGTTCCATGCCGGGCCCAGGTCAGGGCACGTGGGAGAGGCACCCAATCCCTGTGTCTCTCTTACACCAAAGTTTCTCTCTCTCTCCCTCTCCCTTCCTTTCTCTCTAAAAAATCAATTTTTAATTTTTTTTTAATTGAGTAAGAAATGTGTTTCCACATGGATGCAATCAGCCAAATCCAGACTGTGGGAAACTACAGGAAAAACAAGTTTTCTTGAACAAAGAAATTGCAAGAAAAGTGAGGGAGATTTTAAAAATCTAAAACAATCCATCAACCAAATGCAATGTGTTGACATTGTTTGGATCCTTTAAAAGACTTATGAGCTACGTGGATGCTGTTGGTGATTACAATTTGTATATTAAAGTGTATCAGAAAAAAGACTTATGAGATAAGGAAATTTGAACATTGACCAAATATTTGATGACTGAGGAATTGTTAATTTTCTGAAGTGTGACAATGGTACAGTATTTTTTAAGGGTTATTAACTTTATGAGATACAAACTAAAGTATTTATGGATGGAAAAATGTCTGGATTTTTTCCAAAATAATTCCATAGAGAAGGGGAGGGGAGAGGAGGGGAGGATGGGGTATTAAAAGTAGAAATGGACATGTGTTGAAATTTGTTGAAGCTGGGTGATGGGTATATGTGGGTTTATTATACTAGTCTCTTTACTTTTACCTATACTTGAAAATTTTTGTAATAAAAAGTTAACATACATCTCCTGAATCTCTCTCTCCTCCTCGCTGTCAGCACTGCCATCACTCACCTGGAAGACTGCAGTAGCATCCTCCTCACAGCCCCCCTGCTTCCAGCCCCCACTCCTATACTCTATTTCCCTCACAGCAGCCAGAGAGAGCCTGTTAAATCCTAAGCGAGGTCATGGCCCTTTTCAGCTCATAACCCTCCCATGGCTCCCTTTTCAGAATAGAAGACGAGTCTTCCCCATGGCCCATGAGGCCCTATACAACCTGTCCCTGCCATCTCTCCAACCTCATCTCCATCTGCTCCCCCTCACACACTGTTGCTTGCTGTTCCTCACACAAATTAGTCATGGCCCTGCTCTAGGACTTTGCACTTGCCTGGGATGTTTTTCCCCTAGTTATCCAGGTGGCTTACTCTCTCATCTTCTTCAGATCTTTGCTCTAATCTCACTTCCCTGGCCACTCTAAAATCTAAAGCTGCAAACTTGTCCCCACCCCACCCCGTTCTCTCTCTTTATTTCCCTCTCTCCCTCCCCCCCTCTCTCTCTCCCTATCCCTCTATTTTTTTCCTTAGCACTCATCATCATCTAGAACACTGCCCTGGAGGGATAGCTCAGTTGGCTAGACCATTGTCCCAATATGCCAAGGTTATAGGTTCGATCCCCAGTCAGGACACATACAAGAAGCAACCAATGAATGCAGAAATAAGTGGAACAAGTTGAAGTTTGTCTCTGTCTCTCCCCCTCCCTCCCCCCTCCAAAA